TCTTGGGGTGTGTTTTGGTTTTGTCCCCCCTCCCATCTCTGTGTGGAATAAATGTTGTTGTGTGCACGGATGTGCACCACCAATAGAAACGCACGCTATGGGCGCTCTGCTAATCAGCTGGGGAGGCACCTGAATCTCTCCTGAGTGGCTGCCCAAGCGTTCAGCGCGCATAGGGAACACTGGTCCTGAGTCTTTCTCATGAGCTGGGAGACGTTCCCATCAGCTTCGTGTAGAATCGGTTCTATCGACAGGAAATGTCTAAGGAAAGCCAGGGACAGTTTGTAGATGCACGTGGGCCAGTGAATCTCTAGTCAAAAGGTACTCCCTGCAAATAAAAGTCTCCGAGGGGTAACTGGGTTAGTGTGTAACACGAGCAGTCCTGTGGCACCTTAGAGACCTAACAAATAACTAGATAGCTATATAGTATCGTGCGTTTACATGGGTAAACCCCACTTCTTCAGATGAGATGAGCTTGAGTGGAGGGAAAAAAAGGGGGACCCTCAGAATAAGAAGGGAGAAGGAAAAATAAGTACCTGTCAATTATAGTGCCTGTGCTAATGAAGCTGATAGAGAAGGTGCAACATGAACACTCTAATTCACTATTTTTTCCCCCTTCTTCCTGCCCGCTCCCCATCCCCTATTTATTTTGGAACTGGACTTTTAATACTCCATTCATCTGAGAAAGTGTGTTGTGCCCACGAATGCTCATGATACCATCTGCATGTTTTGTTAGTCTTTAAGGTGCTGCTCAACCAGTGTTTATTAAACTATGTTCCGCAGAACATTGGTGTTCCGCGAAGAACTTGCAGGTGTGCCGTGACCTCTTCTTTGTTTTTGTGGGTTTTTTTGTGAGACTACAATTTTTTTAAAGAAAATGTTCATAGGTGTTCCACATAAAAAATACTATTGTTTGGTGTTAGGGGATAAAATGGTGTCCTTGGCCTCTGTCTGTCAGAGGCTGGAGAGGGATGGCAGGAGACAAATCACTTGATCATTGTCTTCGGTCCACCCTCTCTGGGGCACCTGGTGCTGGCCACTGTTGGTAGACAGGATACTGGGCTAGATGGACCTTTGGTCTGACCCAGTATGGCCATTCTTATGTTCTTATGTGTTCTGTGGTGTCAAAAAGTTTAAGAAATACTATGCTAGACTATTCATTGTTTTTTAAGTTTTTCCAACAAAAGGTCTGGTAGCACTTTGTAGACTAACAAAATATGTAGATGGTATCATGAGCTTTCATGGGTACAGCCCACTTCTTCAGATGACCAAGTTATGAGTTTAGGTACCAGGTGGCTGGTTGCATGCAGAAGCTGCTCTGGCAACAGCCCCTGTTGATGGCCAGCCCTGTCTGCTGTGAATAGGGTCTGATGCTTTAAGCCAAGTCCCTTCAGCATTGGTTCCTGTTTCCTGTCCCCCTTGCTGCCTCTGATACAGTAAAGCGAGTAGTTGAGTGCTCGACTACCTGATAAGCTTAGCATTAGTTGACTACTCAACTACTTGGTTACATCCCTATAGCAGATCACTTAGTTTTTTGTAGTCAAATCCTTATGCTTTGTGAGTTTTCTATACTGCAGGCAGGGCCGGATTAAGGCGGGGGCTAGCCGGGCAGCTGCCCGGGACACCAACCTATGGGGGGGCGCCTGATGGCAGCTGTAAGGTGCGCAGCGTGCCGGGGGACAGAGCCGTGCATGTGCTGTGCGCCCGGGGGTGGAGCTGTGCATGTGTCGCGCGCCTGTTGCCCGGGGCGCAGGAATGGCTTGAGCCGACCCTGACTGCAGGTGATACAAAAGCATGAGTAACTTCAAAAAAAATTAGTTTTAGCAAAATAGTTTAGTGAGCAGTTTAGTTACAATACATAAACTTCTCAAGTATCAAATTCTGTTTTGCTCTAAGAATTGTAAAGATAGAGTAATACTAAGTATTATAGTGACACCCACTGGTGATGTTTCTTCCTTACTTGCAGTCACATTAGTTTCAAGATACAAACTACCCTTTGAACTGATAGACTGTCAGACACAATCTCAGCCCAGAAATTGAATTTTCAGGGTCAAAAGTGTTCCCAGTGACTTCAGTGGGACAAAGATGTGGCCTTCAGTGTAATTAAACTAAAAATTGCAAATGTTCTAATGCACTGATTTAGTTAATTTGTTAAAACACAAAAAATTGCAAAGTTTAAACCCATGTATGGTTTGAAGAAGATGATTTTCAAGACCTTGAGACCTTGATCTTGTGGGAGTTGTCTGTTGAGCAATTGCTTACATGTGTGTTACTTCACTTGCCTGTTGTTAACTTAATCCAGAATGAGGCATTAGCCAATTTTTTTATTAAAAAGAAAATGTTAAATGGAAGAAAAATAGTTCTGAAAGATAGGTGCAATTGAGGTATAATTAGTAGTACTGGAGCAAATAGATATTTTTCCTTACTTTTATAGACCCTAATCCTGAAAATACTTAGACTGCTAATCAAGTTTTATAACTAAAGATTGAACCTCTAGTCCAGCACTCCCTGGTCCCGCAACATCTGTGGTCTGCCATGATTTTAGTTAGAGAGGTGTCCACTTATTATAGGTATGGCCAGGTTTCCCGTGATCCCATAAAGTTTGTTTACAGACCCCAGTCCTGGCTTTGAGTTTCTGTTCTGTTGTTTAAATTTACCCCTAAATGTCTTCTAAGAGTCCAGCAAGCAGGGGCAGTGTTGGTAATGCAGCTAGACAATATTGACCGCCTGTGATCCAACAAATTCTCTTGTTTGGCAGCAGTCAGGTCCCAAGGATGCCCGATTAGAGAGGTTCAACCTGTAGTATAATTATAACAGCCCACTTTTTTCCTCCTCTATCTTTGTTTGCTTTCTTTATGCATTTGATGGTGCTGTCTGCTTCCTGTGTTTTAAAGGTATAGCAGAAGTGCAATATCTGAAGCTATTTTAACTCATTTTTGAATTTTGTCTAGATGTAAGTTAGAACATAAGAACGTCCGTACTGGGTCAGAACAGAGGTCCATCTAGCCCAGTATCCTGTCTGCTGACAGTGGCCAGCACCAGGTGCCCCAGAGAGGGTGGACCGAAGACAATGATCAAGCGATTTGTCTCCTGCCATCCCTCTCCAGCCTCTGACAAACAGAGGCCAGGGATTGTGTCAATTTAAAAAAAAACAAAACAGTTTTTGTGATAGAAATGTTTTGAAATGTGTTTTACTTTTAAATGTAAAACAAATTTAGTACATTTTTCAATAAAAAGTTAACCTGAAATCAAACATTTCCATCCTGCAGCCTTAAACACACAGGAGAGTTCTGTAAACTCTTACATTAATACCATCATTTTTTTTTAAACACATGCCTTGGATTAATCCCTTTTCACCTTCTTTTTCAATTGATCATATGGCTTGTAAACGAACAAATCCAAAAGTATACATCATAGTGCATCCCAAGCATCTAAATTCTAGATCAGTGTGGTGGAGTGTGATTGATACAGCACAAGTCTGAGAACTGAAGTCTCAGTTAATAAGTCTGATATGGGTGCATCAGCTAAGCGGTTTATTTTTGTTTGCATTCAGGCTTCATGTGTGCAGTACCGTTTGATAGTTAGAGATGTGAACAGCCTCCAGATCCTTCAACTGTACACTTGCCTGGATCAGATCCAGTACATAGAATGGTCGTCTGACTCTCTCTTTATATTATGTGCCATGTACAAACGAGGGATTGTTCAGGTAAGCACAGATACAGCATGGCATATTGTTCCTGTTTAGAATTTACTAACTGCTAAATTGGGAACTTCTAATGTCAAGCACTAATTGAGTGTCTTTGCCAAAGTAACTGACACTCTGATTAATAGCTCACTATTTGAAGTAAGCTGAGTTTGCTACTGTTTGTCAAAACCTTGATTTAAAATTCTGTTTTTTAGTCTGAAGACAAATAACACCAGAATAAAAACAGTTGGAACAAATCGATAAAAACAAAAAGGCTGCTACAAAAGTATCTCATGCATCTATTTCAGAAGGAAATACATGCAGACTTTTATTAAAGGGAGCAAAAGATTTAAAAAAGATGTCTAGTCAGAAAACATGACAGATGAAAATATGCTTTATGACTTGTGTTAATGCACAGAGATGTGCTGCTTACTTTTGTAATGGTATCCAGCGCCAGTCCTTCATGGCCAAAGGCTTTCAAAGGTTTCCTGACCTTCGTGGTATGTGTTGATGGAATTTCTTTCTTAGTTGTAGCGTGGTTCTTGGAGGAGAGGAGAGTTTTGACGAGCTATTTAGTTTGCTGAACTGACTGGTGTCTCTGACTAGGTCTGGTCCTTGGAGCAGCCAGACTGGCACTGCAAGATTGATGAAGGGTCAGCAGGATTGGTGGCTTCGTGCTGGAGTCCGGATGGCCGTCATATTCTCAATACAACTGAGTTTCACGTAAGCGTGAAGTCATGATTGTTCTGTAAAGTATCACATTACTTTCTGCAAATGGCTCCTAAAATAACCCAACGCTCTTAAAGCTCTACTATTATATTAATCAATGAATATGTAATTTTTTCTCAATTTTAGATCAATTCTGATTTAATCATTGCTAAATTCTTTTACAGTTTGCTTTTTTAGTTTGTGATGAAAAAGTGGAATATGGATCACTTATGCCTTTCAAAATGAAATTATGCATTTTAAAACATGATAAACTGGCATTTATGCAAAGGGACATATAACAAATATGATCTGAAATTCAGATTTAGGCAAAAAATAAATACATGTCTGTTCATAGATTTTTGGAAAAGTTTGTTTCTATAACTCTAAGAACAGTTATTTTGAAATTTCTTCTGCAAAAGCATTAAGAGTCTGGAAGTGATAGTAATCTAACTGATTTTCTTCATCAAAGCTGAGGGATGCAAAAAGTAAGGGTAAGCATGAAAAGTAATACGTGAACAACATTTTAACAAATTTCTGCTTTAGTAATTTAATGTGAGCTGAGTAATATAGGTTTATATAGCATGCTTTTAATAAAAATAAGGCAATATTGTTTAGATCAATTAATCATGGAATACTAGAACTGGAAGGGACCTTGAGAGGTCATCGAGTTGAGTCTCTTGCCCTCACAAACAAGAAGCAATGGGCTTAAATTGCAGCAAGGGAGGTTTAGGTTGGACATTGGGAAAAACTTCCTAACTGTCAGGATGGTTAAGCACTGGAATAAATTGCCTAGGAAGTTCTGGAATCTCCATAACTGGAGATATTTAAGAGGAGGTTGTATAGACATCTATCAGGGATGATCTTGATGATGCTTGGCCCTGCTATGAGGGCAGGAGACTGGACTTGATGATCTCTCAAGGTTCCTTCCAGTTCTAGTGTTCTATGAGTCTATGATTAATTGATCTAAACAACATTGCCTTATTTTTATTAGAAGCATACTATATAACCCTATATTACTCAGTTCACCTTAAATTACTAAAACAGAAATTTGTAATTCATGTAAAACTTTTCATGCTTATGCTTACTTTTTATATCCCTCAGCTTTGATGATGAAAATCAGTTGATTACTGTCACTTCCAGACTCTTAATGCCTTCGCATTACTTCTGAGACTTAGTTTGACCTGCAGAGAGTTCCACACATGCGTGACTAATCAAATGAGTAACTTTTATTGATTTCATGGAACTTCTTGCAGTACTAAAATTAACCATGTATTAGTGCTTGCAGGGTAAGGGCCTTAGTCTGTAATCATAGCCAAGATGTGCCTTAGGGGAGTTTAGTCCATATGAATGTGGTTTGAAGCTCATTGTAAACAATGGGCGGGGGTTCATAGGCGTTTTCAGAACTATTTGATTTGACCTGGGCTCAAAGCACTAAGGGTTTGTCTACACTAGCCCCCTAGTTTGAACTAGGGAGGCTAATGAGGGTGACCGAAATTGCAAATGAAGCATGGGATTTAAATATCCCGTGCTTCGTTAGCATGTTCCCGGGCGGTTGCCATTTTGGAAACTTACTAGCCCAGGATAACTGCCCGCGTCTACATGCGGCAGTGAAACGGGAGTTCGAAGTAAACCCCTAACTCGAATTAGCTGTTGCTTCTCGTGGAATGAGGTTTTGTTCTGTGAGTGGACAGCAGAGAGTTAATGTGAGCCTTGAATACTAACATTTCCAAGTGTGCGAGTGAAATTGAATACAACCAGACAATATTTTCCTTTTCTCTCACTCTCTCACACACACATGAGTTTTTGGTGTCAGATGTAGTCAGAATACTGGGTTTTTTACTATGTATCAGCGCTACTTTTCTTTTTTCCAGAGGACTGGGGTGACCGTAGGTTAATGAATACAGGAACACGCTTTCTCAGTACTGATTGTCCTTCGTGAGGATTAAAATGAGTCCAGCTGTTCAAACTAAAGACAGACAAGTGTCTAACAGGCAGGATTGTTGTGTAGCTTGAGTAACCAAAAACTTTGGGTGGCTCCTGCTGCTGCATGATACGGGAAGGTGTATAATGGCATGTGCATGTGTGGGTGGACTAGTGAGTATTTTTTACCGCCTCTCAGAACTCAATTTGACCCTGCAGGATTTCATGTAAGCTTTGCCAAGTTGTCATCTGTGCTGGGATAGGCTTTCTCTCTAGCTGTAAACGGGTTGCTAAATTAACTTGGGTCAGACAGCTGCTTGGGTTATGCTAGTGTCTGTGTTGTGTTTACTCTCGAATACACTAAGTCCATAGTCTCTACTGGGACAGACAGGGCAGGAGACAGGAACTATCAGGATACTTAATATCATCGTATTATGTGCAATATCAAGTTGAGGGATCATTTATAGGTTCCATGTTAACCCATACTATACAGGTTTGGTAGTCTGACATTTTCATGTAGCATTCACTAAGGGTACGTCTACACTACAGAGTTAGTTCGAACTAACTTAGTTCGAATTAGTTAATTCCAACTAAGCTAGTTCGAACTAACGCGTCTAGAACTAAAAACTAGTTTGAATTAGCGTTTTGCTAATTCGAACTAGCATGTCCACATCGAGTGGACCCTGAACAGGGCTTAAGGATGGCCGGAAGCAGTGCCGGCAGGGCATCAGAGGAGGACTTAGAGCATGGAGATGCTGTCTCAGGCTAGCCGAGGGCTGCGCTTAAAGGGACCCGACCCCCACCCCGGACAGACAGTTCTCAGGGGTGCCCCACTTGAAAACCAGTCCTGGCTTGGAGTGCCCAGAGTGCCCACACTGGGCACATCACAGCACTCGGCCATCAGCCCGGCTGCACTTGCCGCAGGCTGCCATCTGGGGAGAGGGGGCAATTGGGGGGCTGCAGGAGAGCTTCCACCCCCAGAAGCCCGCAGAGCCAGCCCAGTCCTCCCCATCGGGGG